GCCGAGGCATAGCTGGCAAGCGGCAGAGACGGAGCAGGCCGACCACCAGCTGGCCCAGCCCAAGGGAGGTAAGGCACCCGCCGGAAAAGGGGAAAAAAATGGCGGACAAAAAAAATGGCGGACAGCCTTGCTTGGCGACCCCCATGAAATGGTCGATCGACCCCAAATGGGGTCCCGACCCACAGGTTGAGAACCACTGGCCTAGCCAGAATACATCATCCCTCTCTCCTCCCCCCCCCTTACATTGTTTAGAACTTCTCTCTGCCATCCTTTTGTCTTGTTAAGTGTGTCTTCTAGCCAAGCCTCCTGAAATCTAGTGCCTACAGTGCAGGGCTTGGCTAATCCTTCTATTGTTAATCAATTGTGACCCTTTTATTTTTAAACTTCTTCCTTTCTCACAGGCAGAACTAGAACTTACAGTCTCCTGGTGATTGGCCCAGAGTCACCCAGTTGGCTTTGTTACCTAAGGCAGGACTAGAACTCACCGTCCCTTGGTTTCTGCTTGTGAGACTAGACTGCAGCTGCCATCCCTAAAGATGAGGCAGGCAGATAAGCAGGAAGCCAAGATCCCTTCAGGGGATGGATAGATAAGAAGGAAACAAGTCATTAAGGAGACAAAGGAAGAGAAATCACTTGATCCAGACAAAAGGATTGAAGCCTGAGCACATGGGAAGCCCCTTCCCCCAAATCCCACCCACAGCTCCCAGACTTGAGAATCCACAAGGCAAATGTAACTGCCAACCTTGAGAACAGACAAAGCCAGGACTTTGAGGGAATAAGAGGGGTCCTGAAGCTCACCCACCCTTTGAGTGGTCCTTAGATCCAGACTTGGTGGCTTCTGTATCTGTGGCTACTGCCTTGGCAGCCTCGTTGAGAAAGATGTGGGTAAGTGTGGATGAGTGTCTGTGTGTGTAGGTGGGGCAGAGCTAATGAAACAGAATAACAAGAGTTGGAAGGGACCGTGGTGGTCTTCTAGTCCAGCCCCCTGCTCAGGCAGGAGACCCTATACCATTTCAGACAAATGGCTGTCCAGTCTCTTCTTAAAAACTTCCAGTGTTGGAGCATTCACAACTTCTGGAGGCAGGTTGTTCCTCTGGTTAATTGTTGTAACTGTCAGGAAGTTTCTCCTTAGTTCTAGGTTGCTTCTCTCCTTGATTAGTTTCCACCCATTGCTTCTTCTCCTGCCTTCAGGCGCTTTGGAAAATAGCTTGACTCCCTCTTCTTTGGGGCAGCCCCTGAGATATTGGAAGACTGCTATCATGTCCCCCTCGTCCTTCTCTTCATTAAACTAGACATTCCCAATTCCAGCAACCGTTCCTTATATGTTTTAGCTTCTAGACCCCTAACCATCTTTGTTGCTCTTCTCTGCACTCTTTCTAGAGTCTCAGCATCTTTTTTACATCGTGGTGACCAAAACTGGATGCAGGATTCCAAGTGTGGCCTTACCACGGCCTTGTAAAGTGGTAGTAACACCTCACGTGATCTTGAGTCTCTCCCTCTGTTAATGCAGCCTAGCACTGTGTTGGCTTTTTTGGCAAGCTGCAGCACACGGCTGGCTCCTATCTAAGTGATTGTCCACTAGGACTCCAAGCTCCTATCGTAGTTACTACAATTATAATGTACATTGTAATCAGTAAAATTTTTCTGTTAATTTTAAATTCACTGGATCTCTTGTCTATTCTAAAGAACTGGTTGGGTCTCACTGTTCAGTTGGAAATGATTTGAGTGTGGCTGTTGACCATGGCAGTGAGTGTGTGGGTGAGTGTTGTTTTTGTTGTTAGTTGCGAAGACGTGTCCGACCCATCGCGACCCCATGGACAACGTTCCTCCAGGCCTTCCTGTCCTCTACCATCTTCTGGAGTCCATTGAAGCTCCCGCCTCCTGCTTCAGTGACTCCATCCAGCCCCCTCCTTCTCTGTCGTCCACGTCTTCTCTTGCCCTCCATCTTTCCCAGCATTAGGCCCTACTCCATTGAGTCCTTCCTTCTCATTAGGTGGCCAAAGGACTTGAGTTTCAACTTCAGGATCTGGCCTTCTAAAGAGCAGTCGGGGTTGATCTCCTCTAGGACTGACCGGTTGGATCGCCTTGCAGTCCAGGGGACTCGCAGGAGTCTTCTCCAGCACCATAGTCCAAAGGCCTCCATTCTTTGGCGCTCGGCTTTGTGGGTGAGGGACCATAAGCCAAACTCAGGAGCGCACGTAACATAGGCCAGCACCTTCACCACCAACCATCCTATGTCAGGTGACAGCTAAATCAGCTCAGCACTTCTTTTGAAGGGGTTTAATGACTCTGTCCACTTAACTACAGGTAGTCCTCAAGTTATAACAGTTCATTTAGTGACCGAAATCAGCAGTGCTGAGAAAAGTGACTTATGACGTCTAGTTTAATGAAGAGAAGGACGAGGAGGGACAGGATAGTAAGTCTTCCAGTATCTCAGGGGCTGCCCCAAAGAAGAGGGAGTCAAGTTCTTCTCCAGAGCACCTGAAGGCAGGACAAGAAGCAACGGGTGGAAACTAACCAAGGAGAGAAGTAACCTAGAACTAAGGAGAAACTTCCTGACAGTTAGAACAATTAACCAGTGGAACAACCTGCCTCCAGAAGCGGTGAATGCTCCAACACTGGAAGTTTTCAAGAAGAGACTGGACAGCCATTTGTCTGAAATGATATAGGGTTTCCTGCCTGAGCAGGGGGTTGGACTAGATGACGTCAAAGGTCCCTTCCAACTTTATTATTATTAGTAATAGTATTACACTTACAGCAACTGCAGCCTCCCCACGATCAGGGGATCCAAATTCAGACCCTTGGCAACCGACTCATATTTACGACGGGCTCAGTGTTCCGGGGTCACGCGATTTCCTTTTGCTACCTTCTGACCAGGGGAAAACCAGACTCATTTCACAACCCTGTTACTAACTTAGCGGCGGTGATTTCACTTAACAGCCGGGCCACGAGAAGTCGTAAAACAGAGCAAAATTCACTGAACACAAACGTCTCACTTAGCAACAGAGTTTTTGGGGGTCCATTGTGGTCGTAAATCGAGGATCGTCTAATTAAAAATTCAGGAAGGCCCCTTTATTTTATTTTATTTTATTTTTCTTCTTTTTCTCTTATAGGCAACGGCTCCTTTCAAAATTCCCAAGACCCAAGCGTCTTCTAACTTGGTGGGCCTGGTCAGTCGGCAGGGGCCCTCGGAGCTTCTGCTACCGCAGCCGAAGGAGATGGGGCAGACCAGAGAGCTCACACCTTTCCACTCCACACAAAGCAGCGAGAAGCAGGCAAGAGATCAACACGGCAAGATGATCTTTGGCAGGTACCGATCCCCGTCCTACATTCTGCAGGCAGCCCTCAAACCTGTAACCATTCGTTTAGTGACCGGTAAAAGCCACAGTAGCACTGAACAAATGTCCATGGAGATTCTCAGTCCTCCAGGTCAGGGCTTTTCAACCTTTTCACCCATTGTACCACTTTTAGGATATGGCAACATCCGAGTACCGCCAGGCGCCTAGCAAGGTGTCAAAAACTTGATGACCCCCCCCCCAAAAAGGACAAAAAGTGATAAAGTAGAGGTAGTCCTCGACTTACAACAGTTCGCTTAGTGACTGTTCGAAGTTACAATGGCACTGAAAAAAGTTCCCCCCAAGCCACAGCCGAGCAAGACACCTAGCTGCCCACCCGGCCGCGCTCTTCCTCCTGTCCGAGGTTTTCATTGTTCTGAGCATTTCTATTGAGGATTGGCAGCGGGGGTGGGGTGGGGGGGTGTTTGGTTTTTATTCCCCCCCCCGTCTGCTGGGGGGTTGCAGCAGGTTTTGGTCACTTCACATGACCCTGAGACACTGTGACCGTCATAAATGTGAATCAGTTGCCAAGCATCTGAATGTAAATCACAAGACCCTGGAGAGGCTGCAACATTCCAGCTGATCGGCGCTTCTTCTGGGCTCATCGGAAGTGCCAGGATCAGAGCCGAGCTCCAGCTGGAGCCTGGCGCTGATCTTGGCGCTTCCACTGAGCCCTGACAGCCCCGAACAAGTGCCGATCAGCTGGAAAGCGGAACTGTGACCATCATAAATATGAATCAGTTGCCAAGCATCTGAATGTAAATCACAAGACCCTGGAGATGCTGCAACATTCCAGCTGAAGCACCAGGATCATTGCTGCTTTCCAGCTGATTGGTGCTTCCTCAGGGCTCAGCAGAAGCACCAGGATCAGCGCAGAGCTCCAGCTGGAGCCTGGCACTGATCCTGGCACTTCCGCTGAGCCCTGCAGCTCTAGCCGTCTCTCGCTCAGGCTTGTGCGGTGCTGCCACCGGTTCAGCTCATTCCCCTCCCCTGCTACCACTTTTCTAGGATGGTTGCGTACCACCTGCCAGGTGCCAATGTACCACAGGTGGTACCCGTACCACGGGTTGAAAAGCCCTGCTCCAGGTCATCCTGGTTGTCCCAAAGGTGCTTTTTTCAGGAGGCCCCTGGACTTTCTTGTTTTTCCTTTGAAGACGTTTCCCTTCTCCTCCCAGAAGCTTCTTCAGCTCTTACTGGCTCCTTTTTCGAGCATTCCTGCTTTAACCAAACCTGGCCAAATAGGAAGAGAAAATTAAACACTACGAATATGTTTCATTTATTGATTAATCTAGGGCTTAGGCAATATATACAATGGTTTTTTATTTATTAAAGGGGATATCGTGTTATTAAGCAGATGATATAATATGGTGGGAAATAGATAATTCTTAGGAAATAGAACAAGGTTATATTTTCGAGCATTCCTGCTTTAATCAAACCTGCCCCACCACCAACGGTTACATCACCACGAGCGTCACAGGTGGCGCCCGCGCCCACGGCCCCACTCACGTGAGCAGTGGGTGTTCGAGTGCAGGCGCGTGCATGCATTTACCCCCACACACACACACAAACACGCACACACGCAAAACCACTCCTCCTTTCCACCCTCTCCCTGCTCCAGGCTGCCAATCTCAAAAGGCTGGGGGGGAACTCTGCTGTAATTCGTTGCACAGTCCACCAAATGTTCAAACTGGATTTGGCATTTTTGCCTGCCTTTTTGAGTCCTTCCCAAAGGCCTGGGAATGGGCAGGTGTCGATGTTTGATGGACTTTCTTGTTTTTCCTTTGAAGACATTTCACTTCTCATCCCAGAAGCTTTCTTCAGTTCTGACTGGCTGGTGGGGAATGGAAGGATTTATACTTCTTGCAGATAACTGGTCATTTGCCTTCTTCTAGAGAGTCGTTGAGGCCGCCTCATGACTTGTGGACTTCAACTCCCAGAATTCCTCAGCCAGGCACTCTGGCTGAGGAATTCTGGGAGTTGAAGTACACAAGTCATCAAAGGGCCAAGTTTGAAGACCCCTGACTTATACCCATAGATCCAAACGTTCCATTATGTGCTTGCTGTGTTTTAAGAGGCCAGGTGGATCGACTCGGTTTCCCTGGTCTGAAGGACCAGCTGAGAGACAAACCATCATGGAGAAAATCTACCTAGGTTAGTTGCGAAGTGTCAACAACAGCTTGATGGCGCATAATCACTCAGTTCGGGTTTTACGATTGCTGATAAACTCTTGACTCTTCCAACCAGGCCCTGGGAACAAATAAGCAATGAGGCTGCTCCCTCTTGCGTTGAGATGCCAACATATATATATATATACACTTGGGTGTGTCCATATTGTGTCCAAATAATCACGATCACCAAGAGTAGATAAAATGTTTATAAACAATTAAAAAGTTTAAAAACAGTTTAAAAGCAATAAAACATGTGTAAGATTAGAAGTGTCAGCGACGTTTCGATGAAATCACATTCATCATCATCAGGCTTGTGCTTTTAGCTTTGTGCTAAAAACATGATCCCTGGGTGCATCCATGCCAAAACAAATAAATAAATAAAACAAACACCAGGGTAAAATCATTAAACTATATGAGTTTAATGCCACTATACAAATGCCACTATATATATATTTGGATAAGTGGAAGTTATTGGTTTTATAATGGCCGTAATTGTTACCTCCTATTTACGGTGGTCAGGCCTGGAAGCAGTTAGCATCGATTGGAAGAGCTATATATAAGAGCTGCTTTCAAGATTGTTCCAAAACGACAGGAACGTGCCAGCAATTTGTAATTTCGTGAATTTCCTTTTAGTTTAGACAAAAGACCTTCGACTCTCAGGACGTCCTCCCTGGGCCATCTGTTTGGAGCGAAATTTCTTGTGTGATTTTTTTTATTATTATTAAGGGGTAGACTGTCGTAAACGACGTCTCTTTTCCGACCCACACTCATTTGTGAGAAGGAGGTAAGATTTTCCCATGGTGTTTTTTTTTTTGTTTTTAATGTGTTTTTGCATTTCTTATCACCACGGATGGATTAAAAATAACCCCAAGGTTTGATTTGGTCTTTGGCTTCGTTGCCCTTTTTTTGTTCCCCTGATAAATCTCTTCCTTCTGAGAAGCTTCTACGGAATTAAATGTCTGTGCAGATTCTCTTATCATCCAGGTCAAAGATGTCCCAAAGGGTTTTATTTTTTTCCAAAAGGCAACTGAACTTTCTTGTTTTGATTGTTTTTTTCCTTTGAAAAACGGTTCGCTCTTCATCCAAAAAAAGCTTTTTAGTTTCTGTAAAGTTAATTGACCTGATCTCCTTTTTTTGAGAACCGACTCTCTACTTTCTTAAAGCAGCTAGCTCAAATAAACAACCACGCCCCACCTCTATACTGGTCTGTAACCGTATTAATGGTCACAGAATAACAGGGTTCGCAGGGACCTCAGAGGTCTTCTAGTCCAACCCCCTGCTCAAGCAGGCGACCCTTACAGAACTATAGAATAACAAGGTTGGAAGGGACCTCAGAGATCATCTAATCCAGCGGTTCTCAACCTATGGGTCGCGACCCCATTTGGGGTCGATCGACCATTTCACGGGGGTCGCCAAGCAAGGCTGTCCGCCATTTTTTTCCCATTTTCCGGCGGGTGCCTTACCTCCCTTGAGCTGGGCCAGCTGGTGGTCGGCCTGCTCCGTCTCTGCCGCTTACCAGCTACGCCTCAGCCGGCTCAGGGGGCGGAACCACGCATGCACGGCGCTCCCGGGCAGGGAAAGTCCTCGACTTACGACCGGTTGGGTAGTCCTCGACTTAGGACCGGTTTAGTCCTCGACTTACGACCGGTTGGGGGTCGCGGCATTAAAAAGGTTGATCTAATCCAACCCGCTGCTCAAGCATTGAGACTCTTGCAGAATCATAGAACAAAAGAGTTGGAAGGGGACCTTGGAGGTCCTCCAGTCCAACCCCCCCTGCTCAAGCAGGAGACCCTCACAGAATCATGGAATAACACAGAAAAACCAAATGTACAGGTATAGTATTGGGGGTACCTTGCTCAATAGTAGTAACTGTGAGAGGGATCTCGGAGTCCTAGTGGACAATCACTTAAATATGAGCCAGCCGTGGTCTGCAGCTGCCAAAAAGGCCAACACAGTGCTGGGCTGCATTAATAGAGGGACAGAATCAAGATCACGTGAAGGGTTAATACCACTTTACAAGGCCTTGGTAAGGCCACACTTGGAATACAGCATCCAGTTTTGGTCACCGTGATGTAAAAAAGATGTTGAGACTCTAGAAAGAGTACACTTCTTCTTCTGAGGCCTCTTCTGCAGCCAGGCCTGCATTTCTCAGTCACAGGACTGTCCGGAAGGCCTCTGCAGCCAAGAACCGAGCTATGGATTCAATCCGTAGCTCGATTCTGCAAGATCTCAGCAGCCGAGCACCAAGCCATGGATTGAAACCACAGCTCGGTACTCGGCTGCCTAGGCCTTCTGGAAAGGCCTGACTGCAAAATGCAGACTCGAATGCAGCTGCAGAACTTCGGCCCCAGAAGAAGTGGACCGGCTGGGTGGGGCTGTTGTTACCGGAGGTGAAGTAAGGACTGCCCCGAAAATAAGACCTGGTGCCTCTTCTGAAGGCAAAAAAATAAATAAAAATAAAATAAGACCCGTGTCAACGCTGCAAATACTGTATATTCTTGCTTTGACAAAATATGCAGAACTGTCTGGTATTTTTAGAGTTAATTCAGATGATGGTGGGGGGGGAGGAGAAAGATAGGACTGCGGGTGGGAAAGAAGCTCTGCCCTTCCACCTGATAGGACAGTGGTTCTCAACCTGTGGATCGGGACCCCATTTGGGGTCGATCGACCATTTCACGGGGGTCGCCAAGCAAGGCTGTCCACCATTTTTTTTGTCCGTCATTTTTTCCCCCTTTTCCGGCAGGTGCCTTACCTCCCTTGGGCTGGGCCAGCTGGTGGTCGGCCTGCTCCGTCTCTGCCGCTTGCCAGCTACGCCTCGGCCGGCGCAAGGGGTGGAACCACGCATGTGCGGCGCTCCCGGGCAGGGAAAGTCCTCGACTTACGAGCGGTTGGGTAGTCCTCGACTTACGACCGGTTTAGTCCTCGACTTATGACCGGTTTAGTCCTCGACTTACGACCGGTTTAGTCCTCGACTTACCACCGGTTGGGGTCGCGGCATTAAAAAGGTTGAGAACCACTGTGATAGGAGAACATGATATATGGCAGCAAATTTAGGGAGGGAACATGCTGGTAAATTAATTGCTCAGAGGAAGAGAATTTTAGATCTTAGCATCAACTTCGTTGTGCCTGTGCCGACATATTGTAACAATAAATTACTTTTAGGAAAATCAATGCCTGGAAGTTCTTTGAACTGTTTCATTAGCCGGAACCATAACGACCCGGTCTTATTTTTGGGAAAACACGGTAGATGTGAGGTACAAAAAGAAGAAGAAAAAAATCAGGACTAGATGACCTCCAAGGTCCCTTCCAACTTTTTTTATTATTATTATTATTATTATTATTATTATTATTATTATTATTATTATTATTATTATTATTATTATTATTATTATTATTATTATTATTATTATTATTATTATGGAATTTATTGTCCCAAAGCCTGTGCATAGGAATATTCTCAACTAACCATTAGCCTTTGGTAGGAGTTAGATAAGGGTCAACGGAATTCAAGGGTGTGGGTTGGACTTTGTGACTATGTAGGGATTCTAGTCCAGGGGTGGGCAACCTTGGCTCTTTTATGACTCGTGGACTTCAACTCCCAGAATTCCTGAGCCAGCCATGCTGAGGGGAAAGGGAGAGGTTTCCAAGCTTGAGCCATGCTGGCTCAGGAATTCTGGGAGTTGAAGTCCACCAGTCATGAGGGGGCCATAGTTCCCCCATGCTGGCTCAGGAATTCTGGGAGTTGAAGTCCACAGGTAATGAAGGGGCCATAGTTCCCTCATGCTGGCTCAGGAATTCTGGGAGTTGAAGTCCACAGGTCACGAAGGGGGCCATAGTTCCCCCATGCTGGCTGAGGAATTCTGGAAGTCCGCCAGTCATGAAGGGGGCCATAGTTCCCCCATGCTGGCTCAGGAATTCTGGGAGTTGAAGTCCATGAGTCATAAAAGAGCCAAGGTTGCCTACTCCCTGTTCTAAACTGATGCCTCTTTTAACTCCACCTGCAGCTTCTTCTCCTACAGTAGCCTAACTACAGGGTTATCGGGGTCTTTGCCATCTGGAGAACCTCAATATTCTGGGAGTTTTTCTTTTTAGAGAAAAAGAAGGCACTAAACCAGGGATCTCTAACCATAGAAAATTTTAAGACTTGTGGACTTCAACTCCCAGAATCCCACAAGTCTCAAAAGTTGCCAAGTTTGGAGACCCCTGCTCTAGACACTCACATCTCCAATTCAGAACTCACCCAGCCAGCCAGCCTTTTCCTGACCATATCCTTTATTCCTTGCGCAGGTCCGTAAGCACCAGCAAGCTGTCAGACCCACCAGCAAAGGCTGCCCTTAGCAGCCAGCTCTACCAGGGCAGCAGCACTGACAGCCTTAATACCGAACGGCCCATGGACACAGGTAAGGCGATGGGTGGGGCAGAGGGGTGCAAGTTGTTTTGCACACCTGCCTGCCACGGGGAAGAGGGACGTTCATAAGATACCTCATGTCAGGTACCAGAAACTCAAGAATCAGGCGGATCAAATGAGGACGGCAGAAAAAAGATGATTAGGGGACTGGAGGCCAAAGCATATAAGGAAAGGCTGCTGGAATTGGATATGTCTAGTTTAACGAAAAGAAGGACGAGGGGGGACATGATAGCAGTCTTCCAGTATCTCAGGGGCTGCCCCAAAGAAGAGGGAGTCAAGCTGTTCTCCAAAGCAGCCCGAAAGCAGGAGAAGAAGCAACGGATGGAAACTAAGCAAGGAGAGAAGCAACCTGGAACTAAGGAGAAACTTCCTGAGAGTTAGAATAATTAACCAGTGGAACCACCTGCCTCCAGAAGCGGTGAGTGCTCCAACACTGGAAGTTTTTAAGAAGAGACTGGACAGCCATTTGTCCAAAATGGTATAGGGTTTCCTGCCTGAGCAGGGGCTTGGACTAGATGACCTGCAAGGTCCCTTCCAACTTTATTATTATTATTACTATTACTATTATTAAAAAAGATGATTGGCAGTTCCCTCCCTCCTATCCAGGACACAGCCTAAAGCGTCGTTTGAGCAGGGTCCACAGGATTGTCTGGGACGTTACACCTCCTCTCCACGACCTGTTTTTCTTATTACCTTCTGGGGGGGGGGGGGCTTCGTGGTATCCGAAGGAGAACGTCCCAATTCAGTCGCAGATTTGTTCCATGTAGCATCACCCTTGTGAACTCTCAAGCTTCCTCTTTCTGCTATGTATTCAAGGTGGACAGTGATTAATACTTATATGTAAGGGTGTAGGTATATACATCTGTTGTATACAGCATGTTTATAATAATAAAGTTGGAAGGGACCTTGGAGGTCATCTAGTCCAACCCCCTGCTCAGGGAGGAAACCCTATACCGTTTCAGACAAACGGCTGTCTAGTCTCTTCTTAAAAACTTCCAGTGCTGGAGCATCCATAGCTTCTGGAGGCAGGTTGGTAATAATAATAATAAAGTTGGAAGGGACCTTGGAGGTCATCTAGTCCAACACCCTGCTCAGGCAGCAAGCCCTGTACCATTTCAGACAAACGGCTGTCCAATCTCTTCTTAAAGACTTCCAGTGTTGGAGCATTCACAGCATTCTGGAGGCAGGTTGTTCCACTGGTTAATCGTTCTCACTGTCAGGAAGTTTCTCCTTAGTTCTATATTGGGGAACTCTGCTGTAGAGGATGAATCGATAAGATGTGCTCTTGAGAGAGGGCTAAAATTCTGGCTTATAGCTTTTTGTTCTCTCTGATAGTCTAGGTCAGTGTTTCTCAACTTTGGCAGCTTAAATGTGGGTAGAGTTCAACTCCCAGAATTCCACACCTAGCAATGGAATGGAAGTCCACCCCTCTTAAAGCACGCTGGCTGGGGGATTCTGGGAGTGGAAGTCCACCCATCTTAAAGCAGGCTGGCTGGGGAATTCTGGGAGTGGAAGTCCATCCTTCTTAAAGCACGCAGGCTGGGGAATTCTGGGAGTTGAAGTCCACCCATCTTAAAGCAGGCTGGCTGAGGAATTCTGGGAGCTGAAGTCCACCCATCTTAAAGCATGCACCGACCCCCTAAGACCCTCATCTTTAGGTGGGGAGAATTTCGACGGTGCCAACTCTTTGTGACGGGATGTAAGTAAGACGTATATATGGTCAAAGAGGACTCTAGATTGGGCGAATAAAAAAGGAGGGGTCGAGGGGGCCCCCGGACACCGTAATGGCCTCCTGGAGGCAGGTACGGTCAACCTCGGTCAAGGTCCCGAGTGATGTTCACTGTAGGATCCCCTCCGAACAGCGCCACCCCTCCCACGTGCACCCACATGGTTCTGCGAGCTCGCACAATGTCAGGTGAGGAAGTGACTCCTTCCGGGTCAAACGGGGGGGGGGGTCCTTGAGCAGATTCTGACTGGACAGCGACCAGGTGGGGGCGATTCTGAGGCAGCCATTCTCAATCATCCAGGGCATGGTTGCCCCAAATATGCTTTTCAAAAGCATATTTAATCTATATAAATAAAAATGTGAATGTTCGTTTGTTCAAAATCTTAAATCTCCGAAAGTTCTTCACCGATTGCTTTGAAATTTTGACACAACGTTGCATTCGAATACGCACGTGTTTTTATATACCTATATTATATAGATGTCACACCTGTAACAGGTAAAAACATGCTTTTTTAAAAAAACAGCACCATCTGTTGGACGTAAAAGCAACACACGCTTTTACCAGACTGAGCCACAGCACCGCGTGGCCGGGTACAGCTAGTATTTAATAAATATTAAATCTGATTATAGTAATGTGGTAAAGGTTTTATAGCGAACTGGATTGATTTGGATTTGGACTTTGTTAAAAGGGCTTTATATGTTTTTAATATTAGAGATGGTATAATGAGAAAAGAACTGAAATATGGGAAATGATGGAATTAATTATTGGAGATTTGGAGAAACAAGTGAAAAACAGTAGAATATTGGTGAGAAAGAGAAGAATTTATTTTTGGCGTTAATAACGTTTAAATAAGAAAACACTTGGGGCACCTGAATAGTAAATGAATATGTTAGTTTAAGATTAAATATTTGCAAAATTAAGAAAGCATGATACAGGATCATTGGGATGGATAATGAGTTTGTAAACTTTTATGGATTAATGGAATTTATATAGAGTGATATATTCAATGAAAATTTGTTTTAGAAATGTCTTAATGAGCTTATAACAATAAATAGATAGAGAATGTTAGTTTATTTTTAATTATATAACTTGGATGAAATGTTATATTAGTGAATGAATTGGTTTTAGAAAGATATTGACTTGATTATAATGTTTTTAAATAAATGGAGGGTTCATTAAGTTTAAGTTTAAATGTGTGAAGAAATATAGGTTTTTATAGATTAAATTTTTTTTATTGATTAATGCAGTTGATGGTTAGACATAGTAATGAATGAATTCATCTGAAAATGTATTAATTTGATTATAATATCCTATATAGATAGAGAGGGAAATTTTTAAGAAACAATGTGTATATATTTACTATGTTATTGTTTGTTTTTTTTAAAAATGGATCACCATGTTTCCACGTGGGTTCTTAAGCTGTGTTGGTGTAAAATGGAAAACTAATAAAAATTGTTTTGGATTAAAAAGAAAAGAAAAGAAAACGACACAGGAGCACAAACCCATCTGGACAAGATCCAGAGGTCCATCTGCTTCTGAAAGGCAGAGGTCTCTTGGAGACAGCAAAGTCCACAGTCTGGCCAGAGAGGAAGAGTGGTTTGAAAGAAGGATAAAAGAAATCAGTCCATTAGACTCCGAGCTGGAAGGGACCTTGGAGGTCTTCTAGTCCAGCCCCCTGCTCAAGCAGGAGACCCCATACGATTTCAGACAAGTTGAGTGTCCCGTCTCCTCTTAAAAACCTCCAGGGATGGAGGCATCCACAACTTCTAGTGGCAAGCTCTTCCACCGGTGAATTGTCCTCACTGTTAGGAAGTTTCTTCTTAATTCCAGGTTGCTTCTCTCCTTGGTTAGTTTCCATCTGTTGCTTCTTTTCCTGCCTTCAGGGGCTTTGGGAAATAAATTTATCCCCTCCTCTTTGTGGCAGTCGCTCAAATACTGGGAGACTGCTATTGTCAACGCTGCAAATACTGTATATTCTTGCTTTGACAATGTGCAGAACTGTCTGGTATATATATAGTTAAACCAGCAACTGGGAAAGAGGGAGGAGCATAAGGATAGCCCGGGAGAAAGAAACCGGAAGTAAATCACATCTTCCAAGTTGATTGGAAGATGTGAACCATGACCCTACAATAAGGGAGTGGAAAATG